GTTTTGGAAAAATACCCTGCTGAAGGGGGGAAGAGAAGACGAGCGAGAGAGAAAGGCCCTTTAACAGACAGCTGTGGGGGGAAAAAGCCACCGATTCGCTTCTCTGGGAATTATGGGCCTACCCCTTGGAGAGATTCTCATGGAAATCCGTTCCCTTCTACAGAGGCTCCTAGGACTGGGCTCTCAACTACTCTGCAAGCAGCTTCTCCCCCGACCCTGTGGGAACAGGGCTGAGTTTCCAAAAATCACAGGCATGCAGAGAAGCGAGCCTGTGAGAAGACGGTGCTGAAGCCGGGTGCAGAGCACCGAGGATTTGCATCTCTGACTTCATCCTTTCCTGAGCACAGCAGCTGAAGGCGTATTTCTTGGTTAACGCCTGAACCTAACGCCTCAGCCGTCCCTGCAGAGGGCAGCTCGGGAGACAGGCGAGGAGGCAACGCCAGCAGCTCCGCAGCGCCTTTCGGGGAACGAGGGATCTGTCTTTGCGCCCAAAGCTGTCCTCGCCACGCATGGCAGGTACTGGGTGAGATTAATGTTAGCAGCGAAGACGGACAGAATCGGGCAGATGGATCTATGAGTGGGAAAACACTAAGAAGGACTTCTCAGTAGTGCCTCACACCCCAAGTACTGGCAGGGGTTGCCCAGAGAGGGGGTGGAGGCCCCATCCCTGGGAACATTCTGGGCCAGGTTGGATGGGGCTGTGAGCAACCTGATGTGGTTCAAGGTGTCCCTGCTCCTGCAGGGGGGTTGGGCTGGGTGACCCCTAGGGGTCCCTTCCCACCCAAAACATTCTATTCAGTTCTATTTCTACTGGTGCTTGCACTCCAAGCATTTCTGCTCTCTGCATGGCTGATGAACAAGACCCCCGCATGCTCTGGGAGATTCTGGGGTTGGCTTGTAATGGGGGCAAACAAGAGAACTTACAGTCCGGGTGTTCATACGGCAGCCAGTGGTGCTTGCTGTTCTGGTACTCGAAGTGGGAATTGCGTTGCTGACATTGCTGCGCCCTGAAGTCCTCAAAGTGCTTCGGACACTCCTCGGTGTTGCAGAGTTGAAACTCAAAGTTGACACCAGCACAATCTTCACCTCCGTTAACGGGCCTGTGGAAACATTCAAGAGACGCTAAAACCCTCTGGACATCAGCTCCGGGGATTCTTCTTCTCTCTCAGGTGCAATGTTCACACTCTTTTTTATGAGACCACTTTGCAAAAAGGCCGGGTGAAGCGGCAGAAGTGCAAACAGAGCAGTTACCCTGCACCGACACGGGCTCGCAGTGTAACCTCCCTGCTTGCCGGGGCGCCCCGTGGCGGATGCCAAATGCACAAGTGACCCGTGCGCACGTACGCGCTGCCAGCGGCCCATTTACAACTAGAGATTCTCTACGACTATCCTGCAGCTTGCTGAGCTCACACACTACGGCCTCCTCACTCTCACACATCTGCTAAATCTTTGGGATGGTTTTCCACAGGCTTTCCTCTGGAAATTCTGGGATTCTCCAAGAACGATCCTGGTTCCCTGCGCAAAAGCCGCATTTCAAGGGGCTTGAACAGAACGTGAATTTTGGCAGACTCCATCTGAAACGTAAATGCCATTTGAACCGCCACCTGTAACCATCCCCCATTGACTGGAATGGCCACCTAGCCCCAAGACCTACATTGGATTGTTGCACTGGCGTGTTCGGAAGCGAACTCCAGTTCCACAGGTTCGTGAGCAGGAGCCAAATTTCGTCCAGGGTCCCCAGTTGCCGTCCTGCTTCAGCTGGTTGGCGTTCTTCCACATGCAGTGACCTTTGTAGCACCACTGAGGGAAACCGGGCGGGGGAAACGGGTGAGAACAGAAACAAAAAGCCAACCGAACCTATCATTGCCATGAAATTAAAAGCACACAGAGGTAAGCTCATGGGCGGAGAAGGGGCTGCAAGCAGACACTTTCCCAGGGACAGAGGGGGTGGCCCAAGAGTACCCGATCCCCATCCTGCCCTGTGAACGAGTGGGCAGCGCTGCCGACCCCGAGCCCTTCCACGGGCAGACATACGAAGCTCAACATGTGCCACCCTCCTCCTCACTTCCATTAAGGTGGCCTTTGTTTCATTTGACTCTGGGTCGCTACCACCTTTTTGGAGGAATTTTCATGTTCTGAGTGTTTGCAGGATAAAGTTTTTGCGGAGTTGTTTGGGTTTTTTTCCCCTCCTCATACCGGCCAAATGTCGCACGTGGGCAAACAGGCTGGGACAGAGGGCTAGTCGCTGGGCAGGGTGCTGGGTTTGCTGCTGGCTGGGGCATACTCAGGTGCTATAAGGCTCTCCTGTATCTCAAAATACACGGGATTTGCTAAACAAACATTTATTTGAGTATAATTTTATAATTAAAAATGAATTAGCAGCAGAATACCCGCTAATGGGGATATCAAAAGGGAAAAATCAAGAGCTAATCCTAAGGCAACACAAACGCTTAGCCATGGAATGTCTGGACGGCAAGCACTAAGAAGTGGTCCTACGGTAACAGCATCGTCTGCTACCGTGGATTCCTACAGACACTTTGCAGATGAGACAAGAACCCAAGAAACTGTAAGAAAAAGGCACAGAAGAGGCTGGGACTGCGTTACACCCAACTGGGCTTTCTATGTCCAAAATTTACTTCGTACTAGGGCAAACCTTGCACAGTTCACAGAATATCCCAGCAGGAACGCCCAGCTCCCTCTTTTCCCTTCCTCTGGTTCCACCCAAGGAATGCTGAGCAATTCCCTGTTTTCCTCTGTGCCCTTCACCCCAGATGAATGCAACTGTTGGGTTTTTTTTTTTTTCAATTCAAGCATAGCAAACCCACAAGACTCACTTTCCCAGGGGCACATTCTGTCCCATCGAGCGGAGGTCCTTTCTTCGTCTTACAGAAATATGGGTTGTCTGGATGGCTACACCACAACTGCTTGCACGGGTCAAAGGTTCGGAACTGAAATGAGGAACGTTTACGAGATGAAAATCAACATTAGATTATTAATACTTTTCAGGTAAGGATTCAACCCACCCAGGCAATTCACCTCATGCACAAGCCCACCAATGAGTACAGCATCTTCAGAAGGAAAAGGGCAAGAGCACCTTTGGAAGAAAAAGGGCAGCGCTTACTCTCTGCATCCCCAATCCCTGAGCTGGTGAGGAGACGAAAGGAGGAGACACCCAGAAGCGGGAGGAAAACGCAGGGGTTTTCCCTTCTTGTGTCACATGGACCGTGCTGCCATCCCCTCGACCATTAAACCAAATGACCCGGATGGCTGCATTTCACCCCTAAACATCTCTCCCCTCTTTACAGATGTTTAACTGCTCGTCCATCGTGAGCAGATGCGTATATCGCAGCTCTTTAATAAGGCCCGACACCAACGTGCTGCACCAACGTTTGCCCCTGCAATGACTGCCTCGGACATACCGCTGTGCACATTTTATAGCCAACGCCAAAATCAAAGCGGCACTGTTCGTCCATGGAATAGTTGATGCCAGGCAGCTCAGGAAGCTTGGGCCAGTCGTGTTCGAAAGGGTCGTCAAGAAGACAGTCGTAAGAGCTGGGGAAAGACAGGCAGAAAAAAAAAATCATGAGAAGATGTCGTGATTATTTTTTTTGATGAGCAAGAGCAAAGTACTTATTCTTAGTGAGGCGATGCTCCTTTTCTCCAGCTTGTTTTCTGTCCTGTCTACCTAGTTACTGCTCCCCGGAGCACAGGCGGTCCCTTCCGTAGGAATATTGTCCAGCGCAACGTGACTGAGCATGGCACGGGAAGATCCTACGGCAGAATCCCTGCACTTGCTGGAGATGGTGGAGATGCAACTCCAGCCCTTCCCTGCCCCAGCAACGCATGCGAAATTTGGGCTTTACTTTCCTGTCACCAGAGGCAGCAAACGACGCCTCCTCCACTCTCAGTGCCACAGGGCGACACCTCCAGGCGCCCCGACCTGCACTACGATTCCGAATACAGGAGTCCTTCCACGGGCTTCATGGAGCTCAGAAACAGGACGGCGGTCAGAGGCCAGGCCTGCTTACCTGGCCTTGCTGTGTTCGCAGGGATGGAGCCCTGCCGATGCAAAGGGCAAGAATAAGCCTGGCTTTTTTCTCATTCCTGTTTTAACCCCGACATCTTAAAACAACGATACCGGTGGGCTGCTCCTCCTGCACTGGGATATTTCACTTTAAGGTCTCAGTTAATTCCTATTTTACGCTACAAATTGGGTTTCTTCTGTAGGAGATGTGGGTCAGCTCATTAAGCTTGGACTGGCAAACCCAGCTGTATGCAATGGAGAAGGAAGCCTGAGTAAGAACTGGGTGATGAGGTACCTACACGAAGGGAGACCAGAGCCAGCAGGGTAGAGACCTGTTCTCCTTTCCTCCCTAATTCCGGCACGCGCACGCACACCGCCTTCTCTCGTCCTCGTTTTTTGCTAGTTCCTTTTCTGAGTTTAGGGCTTCATCCTGTCCGTTTCATAGCATAACCCCCAGGGAAATCAAAAACCCAGGGAAAACACCAGCTACCTGACATAGCGTCTGCCAGGGAGACTCCTGCTGCCGCCCCCCGAGGACGCGATGGGCTTCGGGTACAGCCCTAAGCCAGGGAGCGCTGTGCCTGGTTCATAGCTTTTCTCGTACGCATTTGAAGGGAAAAAGAACACGGCAGGAAAGGCGACCGGCATAACCCCCAGGGAAATCAAAAACCCAGGGAAAACACCAGCTACCTGACATAGCGTCTGCCAGGGAGACTCCTGCTGCCGCCCCCCGAGGACGCGATGGGCTTCGGGTACAGCCCTAAGCCAGGGAGCGCTGTGCCTGGTTCATAGCTTTTCTCGTACGCATTTGAAGGGAAAAAGAACACGGCAGGAAAGGCGACCGGGAAACCGCTCCGCTGGGGGAGGCCAGGCGTGGCGGCAGCGGCGTCCAGCTGCGGTCGCTCCGACACGTGGAGCAGCCTACCCGAACGCCTCGGAGGCCGAGCCCCTGCGGGGAAGCAGAGCACAGGCCACCCCGCAGGACCCCGTTCCTCAGCACCTCGGAGGCCCCAGCGCTGCGGTGTTCAACCAAAGGGCTTCCGCAGCTGAGGGTCCCCTTGCGCCCGCTCCTCTGCGCCAGCATCGCCTCTTCTCTTCTCCTCCCTGCCTAGCAGAGGGCAGCACGCTGGCCCCACGTCCCAGGGCCTGCAGACAGCTCCGTTCCCTGCGGCAGAACAGCACCCACCGAGCGCTGACGGGTCCTTACTGTATGTATCGCTTGAGTTCTTGGCCGCTGCACCTGGACCAGTGGTACCGATGGAAGGCAGCCTGCACCAGGGGAGCCATGACGCTCCCCATCGCCGTCTCGTCCCCGCAGCGGTTCCCTTGCCCGTCGTGCTCCATTCCCAGCCTGCAACAAAGAGTCGTTATCAGAGCCCAGGCACTTTCTGCTCTCCAGCTGCTAAAACAACCGCAAGGAGAACAGTTTCTCACGACGTGTAATCGTGCAAAATGAAATGGTTCTTCGCGTTCTAGAGGCATAACCCGCCTTTCCAACTGATCTTCTTTGATGCCCAACCATAAGGACTCCTGGATACTCTTTCATTTATACTTTGCTGTATTTGTTAATACCAGGAATGAACTAACTAGACGCTGGCGACGACTTACGCTTCGGATAAAGGAAAACAACAATTCTGCTCATCAGGGCGCGGTTCATTCAGCTGGTCACGTTTCCATACTCCTTTATCAAAAGCACCGACTTAAACACGGAGCTAACACAGTTATCGTGTTGGGTCTCCGAAGAGCTAACGTGGTTAGCAGGTTACATCTCCAAGTGTGCACCTGGTACGAGTGCCCTGGCCATCTCCAGTTGGGCTAACGCCTCCCGGGGAGCTGAACAAGCAGCCTGCACTACTTAGGGAAGACAAAAATCAGATCAGTGCTCGACGTTAATTCATCCAGACAGCTAACAGAGATCTTTGCTTCATCAGTTACTCCCAACTTCACGTTTTATCATTCTTGAAGAGGTGCCGAATCTAACAAATTGGCACTTCCAGTCAATGAGAAGAAAGATGTTAAGGATGCTTGGCGAGCTACTGTCTCCACTGCCTGGGCCTTCCAGGTTTCTTACTGACCTCTTCCTTGCCCTTGAGAAAACAAGTTCCCCCCCTTCCTCTTCCCTTTATTTTCTTCCCCCACTTATCTCTTCATCGCGTAAACCACTGATGCATTCCAAGGGGATGGAAATAAAATTAACATAGCTTTCCTACAGCCGTTAACATAGAATCATAGAATCATTTAGGTTGGAAAAGACCTTTAAGATCATCAAGCCCAACCGTTCCCCTAACCCTGCCATCCCACCCCTAATCACGTCACACCACTTGAAGCAAGCAGGAGACGCAGCACTGTATTTTGTTGGCAGGCTGCTCGTACGAGTTCGACTTACACATGACCGGTTTCATGAGCGACAACGAAAGCCGATGAAAACCCATCCTCGTGGTTGAGAGTACAGCTTCGGACCGGGTGACACATGCCGGTAACAGGAGCGTATCCTATCAAGAGAAATCACGTCTGATTCTTTTACCCGTTACATTTCTTTTGAGTGAGACCCCCCAGTAGACTTACGACCTGAGAAGGACCTAGGATTATTTTCTTTTGATTGGCCATTTTTTCTGTGTCTTTGCCATTGCCGTCAAACAGAGTAAATGGCTCTGACATACTGGGACCGATTCCACAGACACCTGTGTTATTTTGGGGACTTACCCTTGTATCACCAAAGATGCAAAAGATGTTCGATTAAAAGGTAGAGCTGTAGGCTGGGATTCTTTGCACGTGTTCCTATTCGTACCTTCAGCTACACATTGCCTGGTGCATCTTGCCTGGCTTTTCCTCAGTAAGAGCAAAGACCTTTCTGAAGACAGGGAAGTCTGCCTAACATCTCAACCCACCCAGTTTCTCTCCAGGCATGTCTGAGGAGAACTCAGACCCTTATCTCCCCCTGAAAGGGGAAGGGAGCATAGCGGTACTGAACACAAGTATCTAAGACATCTCCAGGGGGACAGCCAAAGCATGGGCTCACCCAGACTCTTCTTTACCTGCACTGACATAAGCCACACTTGTGAATTTACTTCCCATTATCGTTAGTTCCTTGAGCCATAAAGATTAATGCAGGTATCAAAGTAGCTGATATGCTATCTATAAAAAGAAAAGTATGGTGAATGATGCAATAAAATAAAGGTGAAGCTGAACGCGAAGCGCATTGAGCGTTCCTAGCGATCCCTGCGCGCACCCGAGCACCTCGTGTTTGAAGAAAGCAAATAGCTATTAACTCACATCTCTCAGGTAAGAAGCTTAACCTGCTACAGCTAGAGGTAAGCACAAGGGCTGCCACGGCAAGGTCGACTCGCTTTCCCCCAAGTGCGTCAGACGCACGGGGGAGGTACTCTGTCTCCGCACGGAGTAACGAGGACCTGCTCAGGGTCTGCGGGGACCTCTTCTGGAGCCAGAACAGGCTGACAGCTATGATGAGTGCGTGTGCTTTCCCCAACAGGACCGGGTTCCAACACAACTTTAATATTGAACGCTTCCTGAAGTATTTGCTGAAGAAAGGCCTACGTTGCTTATTGTCTCACGATCATACAACAAATTTTCCTCTTTTCTGGCAGGCACTAGCCAAGAAACACCAAGTCCCGACAGTTTTGCTCCAGGTCGGCGGCATTACCTTGCATACCAGCAGGCCCAAAATCTTGCCTGGTTAAGAAGATGGCATGATCGTGGTGCTCGGAGTGACTGGGGTCCGACTTCTGCTGCTGATATGCCCAGCGGCAAACGTTCTCCAAGCTTCTCGAGGGATTCCCCCTTTCGATCAAGCTAATGGACTGAAAGAGCAACACGTTAGACCCAGGCGCTCCTGAAGGTAGGGCATTTGGCTTAATTTTGGTAGGGAATTTGGACAGGTTTTGATTTTCTTGGAGCACCAACCAGGTCCCCATCTCTCTCTTCCTAATACCCTCTCACTCCAAGTCACGACAGCCGCCTTCCCCATGAGAAACGACAACGCGCAGGCTAACAGGGAGCATGTGTGTGTAATAGCACAGCTTTAGGGGGTTTTTTGAAGCCGGGTTGATGAGTGTTCACATCATCTCTGAAAACAACGGCCTTCCTGTGCGTCGCCCGGAACGTGCAGGAGGAACACCCAACCTGATGTGAGGGCTGAAGGAGGACAGTTTTATTTTTTTTGTTGGAACTCGCGTACGTCCTGGACGGCCAGCTGAGATGGACGAGCGTGCAGGGACACAGGCAGCCCCCGCGGGGGAAGCGAGTAACACAAACACACAGGACAAAGCCTCGGCTGGCGCAAAACGCTGCAGCGCCCGTGCACGCGTGCTGACGGACACAGGTTCAACAGTGGGCTCTGTCAGACTGCGCTACGGCCTGTGCCTGCAAGCTCAGTCAATGTAATTCCACGACAAGCATCAGACTGGTCTTTTGACTTGCCCAAATTCAGTGTCTGAGTTCAGTGGAACAGTTATGATCCTACAAACCCTACAGAGCATTAGCGCTTTCCTCTCATCCTGAACAATTTAACGAGCAGTTCTTTCGCAACTCTCCGAGTGCATTTTACCAGCAAAAGCAATGGACTCTTGCAAGTACTGCCCAGGGTGCAAAGGGGAGGAGCGCGCTGCGACCCAGTAATGGGAGGAACGCAAGACGAGCCGAGGAGAGAGCTGCGCTAGCCAACTGCTTGGAGGGGCTGCGCCAGCAAGCCGGGCTGGTAAGCCGAGACCACTGCTCCTCCTAAACCGATGTAAACCCCCGAGGACTCGGGAGGGCAAGAATTCGGGCTGCAAGCCTGCTCGGGCTGAATGAGCCCAGCGCCGGCGTCACGGAAGGGACGGCATGGTCGGCCTCCGGAGCACAGGCGCAAGCAGGGTCAGCAGGTGCCGAGCAGTTCCCTGGAACCGGCTCTTGAGTAGCTTCTGTTTCCACAGCCCTTCACGAGATTCACAAGGACTGCAACTGCAAAGACGGCGAAGGCAGAGAAGAGGTTCAGGGGCTTGCTTACCTTTGCGTAGCCCAGCATGATCATTCGGACCAGCACCACGTTTATGTGGACGCCCAGGGATTCGTCGTGGTAGATCTCGTTCACCTGAGAAAGAAAAGGAAAACTTAAGAAATAAAAACCCACTGATGATACCAAGGGGACTTCCCAGGCCCCTCGGGAGTCCCCATGGAACAGTCCGTGGCTTTGCCCCCGACCAGGTCTTCCGAGGTCTCCAGCCAGATCTCTATGCATCATTTAAAGGCAGAATTTTCATTCGAGTGCTTTTAGCCTCGTTCCCAAGGGAAATACAGATCAGGCAGTCACTCCCGCTGTTACTCCTAACGCCACCATGGTTTTTGGCCCCTTTACCACTTTGCAGCAACACTTGCAAAGCAATAAAGATCTCAGAGAAATTAAGTACCAGAAATTCTGTGAAAACGAGCAGACGATGAGAAACAACAGCCTTCTTTCTGCTCATGAGGAAGGGAAGACTGCGCAGCCTTTATCACACGCACCAACGGGAGCCCGGAGAATGCTCCTGGCACAAGAGAAGCTTAGCACAGAATCCCAGAATCCCAGCATGGCCAGGGTTGGCAGGGCCCTCGGGAGCTCACCCAGTGCCACCCCCCTGACCAAGCAGGCTCACCCAGAGCAGGGGGCACAGGACAGAGGCCAGGCGGGGGTTGAAGATCTCCAGAGAAGGAGACTCCACAGCCCCCCTGGGCAGCCTGGGCCAGGGCTCGGCCACCCTCACAGTCAACAAGTTCTTCCTCACGTTCAACTGGAACCTCTTCTGCTTCAGGTTGTGCTCATGGCCCCTTGTCCTGGAGCTGGGCACCACTGGGAAGAGTCTGGCTCCATCCTCGTGACCCCCACCCTTGAGATAGTTGTAGGTGTTGATGAGATCCCCTCTCAGCCTTCTCTTCTCTAGGCTGAACAAGCCCAGCTCCCTCAGCCTTTCCTCCTAGGGGAGATGCTCCAGTCCCCTCATCATCCTTGTTGCTCTCCTCTGGACTCTCCCCAGGAGTTCCTCATCTTTCTTGAACCGGGGAGCCCAGAACTGGTCCCAGTGCTCCAGGTGGGGTCTCACCAGGGCAGAGAACCTCCCTCGTGCTGCTGGCCACGCTCCTCTTGATGCACCCCAGGATGCCATTGGCCTTCTTGGCCACCAGGGCACCCTGTTGGCTCATGGTCAGCTTGTCGTCCACCAGGACAACCTGCTTATGGCCCAGCAGAGAGCCCAGCCAAGACAGAAACCCAGAGGCCACACCTCACTTCCACTGCTCTGCATGGGGGGTTTTGCTTTAAAGAATTTTTTTTTAGAAGCAACTAATACTGCTGCCCTAATTTTTAGAGATAAATTAGAACTATGCGGTCGCTTCTGTACTAAAAAGAGTATTTGTGGAAGTGAAGTTCAAACCTCCAGAATTACGCAGCTGGGTCAAAAATTGTTCTCCTTGAGGACTTTCCTTGTGTCTGGGAAGGTGAGAAATGTCCTGCCACTGGGATATAAATTAAGGGGCTAAAACATCTGCAGATCATCAATGAAGTTACTCATCCCCCTCAAAACAAAATAAATATTATGAGTAATGGGTGAAAACTAAACAGTGCTGTTCAGAGGGCAGTGTATTTGAGCTGCGTTTAGAGGGTTGGGTTTTTTAGTCTGGCTAAACCCAACTTCCCCCTCCCCTTGGGAAAAAGGGGGTGCTGAGGTGCCCAGATGGCGGGACCCGGCACAACGACCGTAGCCCGTGGTTTTTAGGAACGCAACCCCTTCTGGGACCAGCTGAGAACAGCCTGGCAGCAGGATAGTTTTACAAGGAATCGGCACGTAACCCAGGCCGCCCGCCCGGGGAAGCAAATATTCCCCGGTTCAATGATTCATCGCGTGTTTTCTCCCTGTTGATAGCATTGCTCCCACAAAGGCTCGCGTCAGAAGAAATGCTCACACTTTCCCTTGTGCTGAGAAACAGCCACCTTCCCAGGAGCGCCTTTCCTGGAGACAAAAGGGATCCCGGAATCCACCTAAAGACTCAAGTCCTATCTCTCTGCAACACCACTGTTTACCTCATTCTCTGTGGATTGATCTGGAGGGCTCCACTAGAGGATTCCCACGGGAGCAAGTGTGTATACACGCTCATGACCAAAGCCCTGGGAATTTTGCAAACCTGGAACCTTGCTGGAAGAACCCAAATCTAATAGAAGTGCTGAAAACGCCGGTGTAGACTGCAGCACTTTCCAACTGTGTCTGACTTGCATGGGGGAAAGCGCAGCTTCTTAATTAGCATTCTATAGTGAAAATGTTCGGTAACTCAGAGTTTAATGATTAATGCATCAGCTACTCTACTGGTCACATAGCTGGAAATGAAACAGCTTTGGAAAAAAATAGTCGACAGCAGGTCTACTGACCATCCACGGGGATGAACCAATAGATGAAATGGCGGGGGGGGAGCCGTGCTCTTTTGGGGACACCTTCACGTGCCACTGGTCTTTGCCGTAGGCTGAGGGCGATGTTAGATTAAAATGGCCGCAAACTGATAGACATGGGAGAAGTGAGCGCGTGACGACCGTATGCCATAGAAACAGCTCCCTAACTTTGACAGACAGCACGGAAGTTATAAGCCTGACAACATCAAGTATCAAAAACGAGGGTTGTGAAGAAGGGTGGCTTTGAAGGAGAAAGAGCTGCCATCGCCTCTTCAGCCTTGTGACAAAGAGAGAGGGCCTGGGCCCTTCTCGAAGCCCCACAATTCAGCTTCACTGCATAACCCTGGCAAGAACAACCACCCCCAAACCCATAAGAAACACTCACCACCTACAAACAGGCTACATGCCCTCAAAGAACATCCCTCCGTGCTCACCATGATGTTGAAATGCGAGGAAGTAAAGCAGAGATGTCCCTCTGAGCTGGGCTATGCAAGCATGCCCGCTGGCCACGGAATGCTGGACTGGGAGAAGACGCTTCCAAGGCTGACAGTTCCACTGGGGACTAGGAACGGTGCTAACGCTACGGCAGGGTTTGGGAGATGGAGGCTACCACTCCTTATGGGCTCCTGGTAAAGGTAAGATCAGGAACACGTCGATTCTGTCACCTCAAGGAATTCAGCTGGAACTTCCCACCGAGCCACCCAAAAAAACGCCACGGGAAAGACGTTCTCTCCAGCGGGTGATGCAGCCCTTCGGGAAGGCGGGCTGGCAGCGACTCGGGCGGTTCATGCTGTGAGGGAACAGTAAAGCTTCACCTAAAAGCTGGGGACCACCCTAGATCTTAGTGCTTTGGAGGAGATGAGCCCCTCTGGGCTTCCGACTTCCAGCCCTGCCCCTTAACAGCTGCTTTAGATGCATCGCTGCTGCAGGGCTTCCCAGCCCGTTTCTTACACCAAGAGTACATACAAATGTTAGGTACAGGAAAACATCTCATCTCGGGCGTTTCCTGAGCTCCGGACAGTGCTTGGTTCCCGGCGAGCCAGCTCTGGCACCGAGAGCAGCGCAGTTGCGTCAGCACGGCACTGTGCCCGGCATAACCAGTCTTGGCACAGGCTTGCGCCGATGTGATTTCCTACTGCTGTTTGTTTTGCACTCGAGCAAACCAGCGGTGCTTACAATACCTGTGTACTTTTGCCCTTTGGAAGCTACTCTGGGGCTATCTTGCGTACGCTGCGGTACGTGGCAAACCTGCCCTTGACTTCCCTGCTTGGGAAGGCACGGCTCAGCGGGTTACCATCAGCCTTGCAAAGCCCCCATGAACGCCCGTAACACCCACCATGAATTCTTCCTCATGTACAGCCTCCCGTTTTTGGAAGATCAGAAGATGTGCAAGTTTAGCTACACAAGGTGCAGTTCTTGGACCCTCACGCCACTAGATCCGAACCTAAACCTGAACCGAAAGGCAGGTTCGTGTCTGTCAGGCAAATTCAGCTGCGCTGAGCTGTGTCTGCTGATGCCGGCAGCGGACTGGACTGCAGCAGAATCACAGATTCATAGAATCCCAGGTTGGAAGGGACCTCAAGGACCATCTGGTCCAACCTTTCTAGGCAAGAGCACAGTCTAGACAAGATGGCCCAGCACCCTGTCCAGCTACGTCCAGTGTGGGGGAGTCAACGGCTCCCCTGGGGAGTTATCCCAATGGCTGACTGTTCTCATAGTGGAAAATTTTCCTCTCATGTTCAGTCGGACAGCTGCGGTCCCAGCAGCTGATGATCTCCCAGGAACAAGCAAAGACTTGCTCGCGTGCTTCCGATTCCCTCAAGCCTTAAAAAGAAGCTTCCAGGGGGGGGGAGTCAGCGGCTCCCCTGGGGAGTTATCCCAATGGCTGACTGTTCTCATAGTGGAAAATTTTCCTCTCATGTTCAGTCGGACAGCTGCGGTCCCAGCAGCTGATGATCTCCCAGGAACAAGCAAAGACTTGCTCGCGTGCTTCCGATTCCCTCAAGCCTTAAAAAGAAGCTTCTACGAGCAAGCGACGTTTAAATGCCTCGGGCTCCAAAACCAAATGCACAGACGTGACTCAACTCAACAGCCCCTTTTCATCAAAGCCAGGTCCTACAGCATCCATTTGCATATTGTTGGAGAGCAACAACCCTGGCACGCCGAAATACCATGGTCACCTAAAACGTACAAGCTCACAACTACAGGAAGGGTAGGAATGGCGCAAGACTGAGCAAAGCTCCGGGTGTAAACCTAGCAGACTACATTCTGGTTTCCAGTTACACTGTGTGCGTGTCTGGAGTTTCATTCTACATTTATAGCACCGAATAATTCTACACAGAGTCATTATAATTCTACACAGAGTTATGCTAGAGAAGATATCAGTTGGTTTAAATTCATATAGAGATTTCACCCCACACCCACAAACG